CCATTTTGAATCAAATCGCTAAACCACTGCATGTGCATATGTCCCACATAAAGTACTAGGCACATGCAAAGAATGAACGGAATCGGTCCAAAGGATTCTGAGATATGACTCCGGACGGACGCACGGACGGACGGAGACCGAATTATAAGTCCCCGTTTTCGGACTTCGTCCGAACGGGGACTAATAAGTCACGATCAATGAATGAGTTCAGTCTATACCGTACCGTAAAAGTGTTCCCACAAAAAGTATTTTCACATGCCCTGAAAAAATCAAACAGAGCTTGACATGTAAGAATAATTTATTGGGCTTAAAAAAACGTGTCAAATTTAGTTACAAATGTATAGCCATAAATATTCAAAACACATGATTCACACAGAAGTCCTGCAGGGCTGAAAATCATCGACCCTACTCTGGTTTACTTTATTTCCCAACTTGCACAGAAAACCTATTCGCCGTGGACTCTAATGTATCTAAGCCTAGTATTTTCTTTTTGAACTGAGGTCAAATTCCATCCGTTTGTCAAAATATACCGATGTTTTTCAGCTAATAATTTTGAAGCCTGTCACAGCACAAAAATACTATGTGAATCGAAGCTTGAAATTGGATGGTGCGACGACCCTTCACTTAGCGTCAAATATACTTTGTTACAACATCATTGATTGGCTAAAAGTCACATGATCGGAGCACACCCTGGGTCACAGAACCATATTTGTCCGTATTATCAACAGGACCTCACCAAAGAACCACACCCACATTTTCAATCTTTTTTAGCGCGGAAGTTGCCAACAAATGTCAAAAAACTTGTGAATTTCATGGATTCGAATAAAATAACGCAAGCGATTGATAAGAATGATTATTAATATTTTCCCCGATGCTCTTCGAATTTTTTTTTTTATTTCAAGGTAAGAAATGGCTAGTTGAAGTTGCATCGTCTTCAATGCGGCTGTTTCACCTCGGACAACTCTAGCTCTGTTTTATTCACAGTCCCTCTATAGGGACTGTGGTTTTATTAGATCGTTTATCAGAGACACTTGAAGGATTAGCTTGTTTGTAAACTGCCAGCGTGTACAGTGGGACAGTAATGTTTGTCAGAGGATTATCCCTCATTGTTCGTTTGCATAACAATGGAAACCCCAACCTTCCTGGAGTACGGACTCAAATGCCAGCAGTTTTCTTCAGTTTTCACGCTCGAGCTTAAAAGTATTCATTATCTGACACTCTTTATGAGTTCTATGATATCAGTGGTTAATATGTTTGGCCATTTTTAGTGTATATTTATAATAATGCAGCAAATCTGCAGTGTTTTATTAACTAAAACTGTTTTTCTCGAGTTGAAGTTTTGATTGAGTACGACTCATTGGGACCGCCGCCAAATCAAGTGCGTTTGGACTAGGACATTCATACTCGCAGTTATTGCAGTTATCGTTCAAAAGATAATGATGGTGCAAAATATGTCTGGGTTTTTAAAGAAAATGCTTTGTCACAGAATAATAGACTGTTAAAAGTGCCAAGTATGAAATAATTTGGGGACAAAAAAACAAACCTGCATAGAAATCGGAATAATAGGTCTTTTGATTACCGTGGACACATTTCAATGGATTTGACAATACTATTGTCCCATGGCACCATCAAATAGCATTTTTTCGTGTGTTACAGTTAAGTTTTTTGAAAAATGTGTCCTACCCGGTAGTATTTCTTGAAAATCGCTATTTTTAGAACAATTCTATAGAACACAATGTTTAAGAAAAATTGCATTTTTTGACCCTTTTTAAAACCCACATTTTTTAAATAATTCAGAACAACAAAAAGTTCTCCATCATTAACAATATATGATTTTTTCAGCCTATGTCACCAGGTTAGATTTTGAGATATTGCATATTATCTCTGCTATAGAAACCTGTGGTGAAAGTGTTATAATAGTGTCAAAATGGTGACTTTCCACTGAAATACAACCATAAATTTCTCGAAAAAGAGGCTGGTGACCCCCAACTTTTCTAGATGAATTATATCCTTATATTGCCTTGGAGTACAGTTTATTGCAAAATGAATAAATTCTGAGTATTTTAATTTATGAGTAGGCTTCTACTTGTACAAAATGAGAAATGGTTGATTACGGGTAATGTCGTGACATTTGTGTATACACTAGGCCATAAACAAACTTGTATTTAAAAAACAAACAATCACATTAAACTTACATCGAGAAATATAGACATTCCCTTTCCGTGCTCAACTGACGCCATTTTGTACGTTTCGTCTGCGCAATCGTGATAACCTTTCAACTCCAGGGTTCCTCATGTTAGAACAGCTAGTCTAATCAAGTGCTAGCGCGAATACTGATTTCACGGATAATCACTTTTGAATTATCAAACCAATTCATAATTGCAATGACCTCAAAGGCTCCAAATATGATGAGGCTGTTTTTAGGCCAAGTATTCGGTATCCGAATGAACAGGACAATTAAGGTCAAAGTAACGAAGATGGAACTTGATGAGTACGTGATGAAGGTAAAGACAAACCAATTCTGATGAAATTTATTTGTTTTATTTATGTTTTCAATAAAAAAAACAAGAAAGACAATAAGGTAAAATATCATAAAAATGATAACAGAAAAAAAAAAAAAACCTTGCAGATATGCCTTGATATTAATATTGTTGTTTATTTGGATGAGAATGAAGGCTTTTTCATGTTATTTTCTCTAACTTTGAAACATTCGTATATGTATTTAGCTAGTTTTATAATTGTTTTATTTTCATTGTTGTTCATCATAGCTATCATTTTTTCTTGTTTGGGAGTGACACTTTTGACTGTTTAGTTGGTTTCTTTCATTTTCATATAATTTGCAGTTAAGCAGAAAATGTTTTTCATCTTCAATTTCGTCTAGGTCACACACAGGGTATTTCCTTTTGCATGCATCTATTTTATTGTAGCGACCCATTTCTATTTGTAGAACATGAGCACTAATTCTTAGTTTTGTTAGTGCTGATCTATGTTTAGAGTCTTTTATTACTGAAAGATACTCCTCATATGAGCAGTCATTTTTTAACATTCTGTATGTGCGCAATTTGTTTTTTGGTTTTTTCCTTTGTTGTCATCCTGCATTTTTTCTTGACTGTTAATTTTGAATATTTTTCGAAGATTGTCCATAACCTTTTTTAGAGGCAGCATTATGCAGATGTTGGTTCTCACACACATTGTTTTCATTTACATATTTTAGTATGCTTTTCACACCAGTTACCCAGTTAGATGTATTGTTTTTGTCAAGCTCCATTCCAAGTTGATATATGCTTCATGAACTAGAGTATTTTCATTTTTATTTTTAATTTGTTGCCAATAATTTATTAAGTGCTTTATGCTCGTTAGAAGTAGGGGATACCTACCAAGTTCTAATAGACATGCTAAATTTAATAATCTAATAAGATTAGCTTTACAGTTAACTTGTAACACATATTTACAGAATTTGGTGTGTAGCTTCTCCATAGGAAGCATATTATTATGAAGATCTTTGGATTGTAGTATGCAATCACTAGCCCATACTTCACTGCAATAGAGTAAGACTGGTTTGATTATGCTGTCAAATAGTTTCAGGTGTGTTTTTATTGGGATGTTATTTTCTGAGTATAATAGTTGTTTCATATTGAATAGTGCTTTTGTTGTTCTGTGTCCAAGATCTTCCTGTGCTTTGCTGAGTTTACCTGAAGAATTTATTTTTAGTCCTAAATAGGTATATGATGTTACGTTTTCCAATTCTTTTAAATTTATTTTAAATTTGTTTTTTGATAGCATTTTCCCAGATTTGTTGAAAATTATTATTTTTGATGCATTGACATCCAGCTTCCACTGTTTGCAATATATTCCTACAGAATCAATGGCATGTTGGAGACCATATGTTTTGATTCTGAAAGTAGTAATAGGTCATCTGCATACAGTAAACAAGATAGTTGGTTAGTTAAAAGAGTTGGTGGGTTATTTTGTGATGATTCAATGTGGTATTTGATGTCATTAACATATAGATTGAATAAAAGTGGGCTCAGGTTATCTCCCTGTCTAATCCCTCTGTTTACTGAGAAAGAGGGTGTAAGCCCTGTTTTTGTTTTGACACAACCAAGAGAGTTTTGATAGATTGTTTCTATGATATTGTAGAATTTACCAGAGATGTTGTTTTTACGGGGTTTGTAAAGTAAGCCTTGGTGCCAGATTGCATCAAAAGCCTTTTTAAAGTCAATGAAACATGCAAAGATTCGCTTTTTACTTTTTAAATATTTACTCAGTAACTGTTTAAGTACAAAGATATGATCAGCTGTTCTGAATTTTGGCATGAAGCCAATCTGTTCTTTCATTATAATGCTATTACCAAATGCTTCAGCGTGGTATTAAGAGTTTGTTTTCAGGGGTGGGTGATACCAAGGTGGGAAATGGATGCACATACATGTATGGGGTTAATTCCTTGAATTGCAATATAGAGGGTTCAGGCCAAAATACAATATATAGTGTTTTCATGTTTCGTCTGATATTTCTGTGGTATTCTGCTGCTGTAAGTAATGCACGATTTGTTCCGAAATTCAGTACCGGGTATATTGTGTGTATTCCAGGGTTATTCGTTTTTTGCTGAAAACACCCCTATTTTTTAGTGGCAGAGTCGAATAGTCTCACTCCCACTGGGAAATCTGTATTGTTGCTTGAATGTGAGTTAATTAAACACATTTTCCAGACCAGCGAAAGAGTATGAAACAGCCAATTTTAACAGCCTGTCACATGATTTTACTCTGAATGTCAACATGAAAAGAGGCTAGTCCATCTTACGCAGGAGTAATTGGGAGTAGAATATGTAAGGGATAGTATCAACAGAGATGTGTATAGTGAAAAATAATATCTATCCTTCATTTGCATCTCTGAGGACTTCTGTTTTAGTATATTGGTTTGAAAATGTATGAACTTGCATGATTTGCAATGTGTTTTTTTTTTACTGGGACTCCCCTATTGATCGAATCCCGGGTTTGAACGAGAACGGCACACTACGTGATTCGTTTGAATACAATGCTGATGGCAAACATGCCGTGTTACTGTGGTACTCCACTGACGGGATGACTTACTAGTACTGCATGCTACAACTTCGCTTGTGATGTTGCTTGTTAGCCATGAATCTTGATTACCAGTCAAATGTTGCTCATTTGACGTTGGTAATCTTTATTTGGAACTGAGTAACTTACTGGTACTGGTACTATGATAAAAATTAGTCAACATACACCAAGTTCTCTCAATCGTGTATTTCATGTGATGTTCACCTAATATGCCAAAAATGTTGCTGAACGATTTGAACTGAATAAAAATAGCAGACGAAAATTTGTTTACAAAATAAAAATACTTCGGTTGCCAATGAAAACCGGTAAAAAACAAGCAATATGTTTTCGGCTGTTATCATGGTAGGACATGAACGTGAAGCTAATGTCTGTTTATAACTAAAACCTTATACGAGGTTCGCAAAATAACATGGCAGTCATTAGAAGTCACTTTATTTTATTGTTAGGACGTATTCAGCCGTTAAATGTATTATTTCCAACCGTTTTGCGATAGTATTTTCTAGATTGGAGGCAGCATTTACATTTTATTCAAAGTTCAAAGCTGCGTTGGGATTACGTTGACAGTGGTAACAATGTCGGCGCCGGTGATCTCTTACCAGTGCGCAACGTAGCCAGAATAAAAGGCATGATCATTTGGGCACTGCTATTACAAGACTGGTAGGAGGCAATAAATTTGGCGAAAGTATTCAAAAAACAGATTTTGGCTGTTGCCATGGTAGCGGTGGGTCAGGATTGTTTTTCCAATTAGTGATGGTACGACCTGCCTGTCAAGTATGAACAAAATCAGCCAAGCCAAAAAAAATCACAGAAGAGTTAAAAAGCCATTCCTGCTGAACAGTTACTCTAACTTCGGGGTCAACTTTCTCATTAATGAAAAAAGATATCAAAAATTCAAATAGTAACTTTTTGCCCACACTCAAGCCGAGTACAATGAGCTATGTCTGAGGTGTTGTATCACAGGGAGTTGGACAAACTTATGTATTTTAATAAATTATTGAATAATAAAATGTTATATAACTTTTCTTTTACCCCCCTCCCCTTCCTGGTATCTATTTCAAGTATTTTTGTCAGGTTCAAATCGTTCACCAGCATTTTTGGCATGTTAGATGTACATCACATAGAAACTGAGTTTTATAAATCTTGAAGGGCTCTCGGAAGATCCATCCGCTGCCTGGACCCGCAGTAAAATCTCTGATTAATATGGAGCCACAACCATCAACATCGATATACCATGAGGTTTCTGCTGGCGACGTTGCGGCGTTACTCAGTTCAAAATAAAGATTACCAACGCCAAATTAGCAAAATTTAACCGGTAACCAAAACTCAGTCTATCCACGACCAGCAAGCAACATCACAAACGAGGATGTAGTGTGCAGCACACGAGTCAGCGACGACCGATTTCAACGAAAGTCATTCCGTCAGTGAAGTACCGCAGTTGCACGGCATGTTTGCCAATGCACAGATCTGTGGAGGAACTTTTAACTTCAACATCAACCTGTATCGTAGTCGCCCAGTTTAAGTTCTGGTTCTGTCGTGGTCCCAACTAAAGGGCGACAGTCGTCGTGTCGCGTCCTGTTCGATATGGGACTCATAGCGACGTATACAACGCGTGTAAAATACATTGTTTATTTACATGATATTCGAAGTCCGAAAACGGGGACTTATAATTCTGTCTCCGTCCGTCCGTGTGTCTGTGCGTCCGTGCGTCCATCCGGAGTCATATATCAGAATCCCTTGGACCGATTTCGTTCATTCTTGCATGTGCCTAGTACTTT